TTTTTCCTGTATAATTTGCAGCAGCCATTTCTCTCTGAGAGACCTGAGGCACAGCCAAATGGAGAGAGGGAGGTTCGGTTGCTTCAAAACTGGCCATGGACACGCTCAATCTCCCATGCCACAACAACAAGATGTGTTCACTGAGGTGTGGGCATCAAACCACAGCCTTCAATGTGCCTGGGAAAGCCTTGACCCAGGCTGCTTGCTCAGGAAACTGACCCTGTAGGTAAAACATGTGAGAACTTCCTCCTCTGTCCATCTTGGCATGATTTGGGCACAGCCTTTGGCAGGCAGACGTGAGACATGAGGCCTTTGGGTTTCAGGAGAAGAGCAGTAAACAGGAGGGCTCCAAGATCCAGAGATGCAGAGATTATACCACTCTGCCCAAAATCCTTCTAAAGGTAATGGTTGGCTTAGATCCTACCTAATTTCATCAGCTTTATATCCCATCTTCTGTGCTAGCGAGTTCAGCATCACTAATCTCATCTGCTTCAGCCTGCTTCTTACCCTCTTGAGGGCTTTAGCCTCATGAAGATTTAAAAATAGAGCATTTGTTCGAGGTCCTTCTCTTCAATTTCTAACAGCAGATTCTCTTAGGGCTTTTCAGACTTGTGTCCCTGAGGACTAGGAACTGATTTTAATAAAAAAAATTAGAGAGGATATTATCATAATTGGATGACTCTCAGAGCCTTCACAAGTGCCAGAAACCTCATGGGGACCGCACTCACATTTCAGAGCTGGCAAACACAGATGAAGGGGCCTGAAGATTTTAACAGGGGCACCATCCCCATAAAGTTTGCCTTCACAGCTTAATCACACCAAGATGAAATGTAGACGTTTTCTCTCTTTATCTAACACCCCACTGATCTGAGCTGCCTTTGTTTTCAGTGTTGGCTCCAGTATTTGTGAAATGTATTAAGCTTCTTGTTGCTTTTGGAAATAACAGTCACCACTGTATTTTGGCCAGATCATTGCTTTTCTTCCTTATTGACCCCTTTTTTTCTTCAGGCTACCAAACACCCTTGACTTTGTTCGTGGGATGGTTAATCAACAAGTCTGTCACAATGATGGATTCCTCCTGAATTGTTGCTTAATTAGCTTGGTTGGAGGTATAAATCAAATGGAATACCAATTCTTCCAATGCCACAGACAGGCAGCCATGCTCAGCTTGACAGCAGTGAGTTATTACTCTGCCCCAGTGCAGGATCAGCCTGCAGGCACCAGCCTGCAAAGCTAGAGGGGCATGGGTTGGTCCCTGAGAGTGCTGGTGTGCACAGAGCCACACACAGCTGGGTGAAGGGCTGGTGGGATGGAGCTGAAGATGGGCTCTGTGCCTGGGGACACTTCCCAGAGCATCAGCCCCAGCAGCTGCTCAGGGGGAGACAACTCATAGATAGGTGATGTTTCTCACCAGGGGTGGCTGGTGTCTGTGTCTGCTTTTTAATGAAGAGGAGACATTTCAGTCCACGGCCAGGCTGAGTTATGAGACACGAATCTTTGTCTCCTGACAGGCAGAATTGCCTTCCACAGAAAGGCAATTATGCATCTCAACAAAAGGAGAAGTAATACACAGGCTGCAAATTAAGATTTTTAAGATTAATCTAAATGGCTTGGTATTTTTACAGATGAGACTTTCACATAACAAGAATTTAAGTATTTAAACCAGTTGACTTGAACTGAATTTTGCAACTTGAACAGAGATGACTTCTCTGTAGCTACAAAGAGCTTGTTTTCAGCAGGTCTGAGCCATCTTGAGCACCACTGAATTGTGTGGTAGAAGTCATCCAAAAGTACTTGGAGTTTTTAAATTATCCTTTTTGAATTCCCAGGCTAAGCTACATAAACATTCCTCTGAAATTATTCTACTAATAAAGCTTTTTTAGCGAAGCATATTTATTTTTCCATGCCCCCCTTTTTATCTTCTCTCTTTGCCAACATCTGCAGAGGGCTTAATTAGTGATTAATGATTTCAGGTGGGATGTGTAAGTCTTACTCTGGAGAAGGAATCCGTTTGTTCAAAAATTACTGAAAAAAAATTTAAATAATCTAATTTTACTGATTTCCCCTTGCTCTAATTTTCAGTAGAAGAGTGGGTTCAGTGGCCCCTCTTGCCCAGGACATACCTACATGAGTAATGCTCTCCAAGCTGCTGAACGAGGCAGTGACACAACACAGACTGTCCCCATGATAACAAAGATCTGGGTTTCATCTTTACCTTGTGATGTAGTTGTTGCTCCAAGTGTGCAACATCTCCCTGGCAAATGGGTAAATCTGTTGCTAATGTGTGGATGCCTCAATGGAAACCTGTGCAGAGGGTCTGGGTGAATTATATTGCCATGGCAACCCAGGATTTCTTTCATCCATTGACATTTGCATCCTTTTTTATGGCATTTTCACAAATACAGTATTCATATTTTTTTTTTTTCCCCAATAGTTGAGTGGAATAGATCACTAAACTTGCTGTTAATACCATGATAAAAAAGTATGAAAGTGAAGCTCATGTGTGGGTACAGAGAGGTTACAGTTATTTTGCAAGTTTAAGATAAATTTTTGAGCAGGAATTATGTCTGAAGAAGCCCTACATTTTTAAAGACATCAGGAAAGAGGAAGAGAATGCAGCTCAGATAAACTTTTATACTCCCAAACAGTCCTAATATAGATTCTGGAAGTCAGAAAAAAACACTGAACAATCTGTTCTATATCTCTAATATGCCACTCTATTTCTGTAGCAAATAAAATGGAATACCTATAGTTGATGAACTTAAAAATGCCTGAGACTTTTCTTATTTCTAATTTATTAATAAAAAGTATTAAGAAAATTAAAAAGCTTCTGGTGTTATTTATGAATTATGACTAATTTCTTCAATCATTTTCTGGCACATATAAATGGCACACAAGAAAATTAAAAAATAATTAAAATAAAACTGTGTCTTAATTGTTTATGTAACCTACATCTTACACATTCCTTTCACACAAAAGGCATGGGTCTGTTCTTTTTCATAGTGGAGTTAATAGAACTATTCCTAACTTCTGTACTATTTATGAAAGATGAGAAGAGGTTTCACTCAACACTTCCAGCTTGCCCAGACCATTAGGCACTGCCAGCTTGCCCATGGAGTACTTTCATTAGAAATTCTTCTATCTCCAAGGCACCTCCAGTTTGCCTGGAAAGGACTCTTCACCCCAGCATCTGAGTACCACCAAGCACAAGGACACCTGGCTTCACTCCTTCACAGTGGTTTTTCAAAAACTCCATGGATGGCTTTTGTATGGGATGGTCTTGGGCACTGCTCTACTGAGGAGGAAGAAAAGTCACCTAAAACAGAGGTAAAGAGATTCATTCAGAACACAGCCAGCTTCAGGTCAGCCTTTAGGAATCACCAATGGGAATATTTTTGCCAAGATAATTTTTTCAGCAAATTACAAGTGTGTTTTCCCACATCAATCACAGTTTGTTAGGCTCCAGTTTTAACAGTTCTTGATCCTCTGAGGGTCCTGTGCCACGACTGCCCAGGCTCCAGCTGCAAGTGAATGCTAAATTGCTCAAGTGAACTGCTTACAAACACCCTGCAGGCAGGATTTCATTCCAAACTGGTAAGTGAAAATTATGATTAATTATATATTCCCAGAAGTTATGATCAGTTTATGAATGATTCATAAAAAAAAAAAAAACTACTAAATAGAATATGAATATAATTTGCAAGCAATAATTTAAGCAACTTTATCTCTAAAGGCAAGGTCCTTCTCATATTTACCTAATGATAGTCTGCAGTGCAAGTGCTGGGTGCAGCGTTGTGAATATTCTGTTTCTACACACCAACACATCAAAATGCAGGTTTGCACTGTCCACAGCTCTGAATGCAAAGGGCAGACTTTCAAACAAAGAACTGTTTGCAGGCAGAGCTCAGGGGGTGAAGACATCACAGTGCTGAGTGCTGAAGCCCAGCTCCTGCCACAGCTGGACACACTGGGTGCAACCAGGAGCCAAGAGGAGCAGGAGCCAGGAGCAGCAGGGCACAAATGTTGTCCTGGAGTCAAGGTGAAAGACATGGAGCCATCCCTGCCTTGGCTCTGAACCTACCATCCTTTCTCCCCAGTTATACATTTCCCCTTCCAGCTTCTTGCCAAAGATGGCATCCAATGCTAACTTCCTTCAGAAACATGGATTTCAAAGAATGTCATGGGTTTGATATTTTGACTCCATTTTTGGAACAGGCTGATAAGGAAAGTCTGATTTGCCCATGGATACTCCACAAATTCCTGGGGAAAACTGTCCCTACACTGCACATTTTACTAAGGATTTGGTTTGCTCCCTGCTTTCTCCTCAGTGAAAAATGTTTGAGACCAGCATTAACATTTTAACACACTGCAATTGGAACAGTTGCATCACAGAGGGTTAGCAGAAGCACCACGGCCGAGATGGTTTTCGGATGTATAAACAGCACAAGTTTTGCAGGAAAAGGCAGAGTCTTTCACAAGAACCAAGCAGCAAAATTGGGAAGTCCAGAGAAAAAAAGTCCCTCTCTAGGCCTGACATGAGCAGCAAAAGAAGCACAAGGTAGGGATTGTAGTTCAAATGTAAACCAAATCATGTAATTCTGTTTAGAATGTGAAATCAGACTGACCAAGAAATCTAAGTTACTTTGTATACCCACCTGCTATTTGACTATACATTTGCTGCTGTGTAAAATATACAGAGGTAATTGCACCCCTCAGAAGCCAAAAAGTAAGTTATGCTCTCTCATCTATTATTTCAGGTAGAGGCAAGTTTCTAGCTGAGCTATTGGTGGTCTCCTTGACTGGTAAGGTCATCAGCAATTCCCCAGGAAAAATTAGCCCAAAGTCCAATTCCCTTTGCAGCCCTTCTCATGCTGCAGGTCTCACCTCTTTCCCTCTTCCTCTCACAGCTTCTTGTCTCAAAACCCCCCATAACTCCAGCCTGAGCTGGGCCCCACCCTCTCTTGTCAACACTGAGGAGATTTCTTACCTCTGGCATCTCTCTAGGTGTACATGACAAGAGTCAGCCACTGGAAAAAGGAAAAGAAAAGGTGCATTTAGACAGTGATGGTACACCAAGTCTTCAGGCATGTCTCAGAAGCATCAGGGGTGACCCAATGACTGTGGTCCTTTTGTACTGCACCAGATAGTTAAGGGATTTTGGAACTGCCTCTTTCCCTTATTACAATTCAGACCCAGAAACTCTTTCCATATGTTGTTTTCCATGATAAATTATTGCAGCAGCTGCAGCAGGAGCAATTGCTGGGAAAGGGTGGCACCTGCCTGATTGCAAGTGGAAGAGATAGAACTTCTGGGAACCTGGCTGTCCTACAGACTACCCTATAAAATAGGTCCAGGTCCTCTGCTTGCGAACTGTGCTCTGCCCTTGGTGCAAAACAGATTTAATGAACAATGAGGCTCTGCACTAACCACAGAGTGTGAACAGGAGCTGGTGAGATTGTAAAAGGCTCTTTTAAAAAATCTTTTTAAACACTGGGTTGTCAAATAACAGTCCCCAGACTGATAAAATGCAGTACTCAGGCATATCACTATGGAGCACAGCAGGATTTTTGCTTCAGACTAGCTGATAAAAAGCCTGATGCATCCCCATTCAGTGAGCTATCCTTCAGGCTGTGCTTTTAAGACAAACAGCAGCAGCAAGCATTTGTTTGCTGTTTCTTTCTTAAAACCAAGATGTTTTGCAATTCAGGATTAACAGATGGGGCAGTAAGAAATGAGGGCGTGGATTTTATTTTTTCTTTCTTTTTTTTTGTCACTTTCTCAAAGTCACTTTGTGTAATGTTTCCAGCAATGACAGAGTTGATGTCATTAAGGGAAGACTCCATGCCTTGGCCAGGGATGGCCACCTCTGAGCTGTGCACCAGTGGGGCCAGGGAACCCCGGGGAAACACCTCCCACACAGGATGTACTTCCAGCCAGGCAAAACCTCCACCACTATTTGCTAGGACAAAAGCCTAGCAACACACATCACACATCATTTTTAACTTCACCCTCCTGACAACATGTGCTCCCACTTTGGAACTGGAGAGAAAAGAAGGAAGGAGAATTCTTACCTCCATTGCTGTCATCAAAATTTGTGATCCACCCTCTGCTAAGTTTTGGAATGCATCTAGGGGGCAGAACAAAAAAAACCTTATTTCATGAGGAAGAAGCAAGAATGCAATGCAGACATAAGGCTGTGGCAGCTGAGGAGCAGAGCTGTAATCCCTGTGTTGGGATGCTCTGCCTGGCTCAGGTGTCCTACCTGGCTACATCTCACTTCTGTGCTGCGTACCCCTTCTGACTTGGCCCTGGGATCACAGCCTGGGAAGGCATCCCAATTTTGGGGCTAGAATTTGGCAGAAGTATAGGGACAGGCAGTGCTCAATGTGGCTGCTTTCATCTCTCATAATTTGTTTCAATTGTTTTCCTGCCTGAAGAGTGACAGGAGGACGGTGAACTAATGAAACACATCTTCCCAGAGGGAAACTTTCTGCTGGTCCTTTTCCATCCTCCCTGGCAGTGAGTGAAGGCCTGGCCCTAAAGAAAGTGATTCTCTTGAAGTCATTAGTATGCCTTGCAAGCCTTTTGCAGGGAATATAAATGCAGATGCTGCTGTTATTCAGCTAGAGTTTGAAATTAACATTGCTGAAAGTTTTTTTGACAGAACACTTTGCCATCAGGAAATTTAAATCCATTCAAATATTGTTATTCTATGTGCATATTTATATTGCAGTATGTCTAGGAGAAGTTTTCAAACCCAAGTGTTTGGATAAACTCAAAACACAGTATTTTGAGGGGTTTTATTTATTTTGAAATTACTTTTCTCCTAGAAGTGTGCTGTTACAACAGTAATAAAAAAAGTTGAAACAAATTTAAGTCTGTCTATCCTTGAATGACACATTTCTCTGGGAGCCTGGAGTTTCCCACCCTGAATGGAAAAGACTTTGTAAGATTACAGGTGTTCTGAAACCTTCCCAGCCTTTGAAAAAGGCTGCTGGGAGAGGGTAGGAACAGGGCACAAGGGCTCATTGCTCATCTGCCCCTTAGGAGGCCACCAGAGCTCCCTGTATGGCCCAGAGCAGGGAGGAAAGGTGGCACATCCAGCCCACACTGCTCTGAAGAAAGGCACGGAACAAGGAAATCCTCATGTTGTCCAGTCCCTTGACAAGGCTGCAAATGCAAGGCTGGGCTTGCACCCAGCAGTCTTTTTAGGAAAAAGTGGCAGCGCTGAAATTACCTCCTCTGGGCAGAGGTAAGTGCTTCTTTACTGCTTCATTAACTCCAGTTAAATAGAATTTGCAAAGAAGATGCTGCTTTTGATTTGGGTCTCATCTCTGGCTATCTTGAAAGGATGAATAATGATTTAATGGGACAGATTTTATCTTCCCCGCTGCATTCACATCATCATAAAGGTTGACTGCCTTTTATTCTCACTTGGCACCCTTATCCTCTCCTGTAACAAACTTATTCACAATGATCTAAAAAGTTTGAGAAATGTATTCCACATTAAACCCTCTGTAAAATGATAACTGAAAGAGTGGAGAGCATTTTAAAATTCTCATTACAGACAGCAGTGAAACTTTTAGATACTCCTTTCCACATGGATGCAAAGGATTTGTCTTTACATTGGCTCTTAAAATGCAAAAGGATCTTTTTTAAATGAAAAAAAAAATACTATGGCACTAATTTAGGCATAAAAATTTTCATCTACAGCAAGTGACATGTATAATCACAAAAAATGGGTGTTTACAAGCTTTTTTTGTTTTTTTAATGGAAGCATTAAAATCAGGACACGCTCTGATTTTACAATGCTTTCAGAGCTGCTTCTTCTGTACTCCCTTGAAATGGGATTTTCAGCAGTGTCATCCAAGCAGATCTGCTGACCACTATTGGCCCATTAAACATCAGTGCTACAAAACACATGGGAGAAAATGAACGCTCATTTCCATGCACTGTTGAAACCCAGCTCATTCCAAAGATGAAATAAATTGCTGAAGCAATGTTCTAGCGCAGGGGTCACAGTTGCTGACTTTGTTTAACTACCAGTATCTCCAGTCAAAATGCTTATTATTAGAGTAGCAAAAATTACAATTTTGTAAAACAGAATTTAATTTCCATTCAGGCAAAAGCTCATTTACAGACACTCCCTCCTCGCAAGTGCCAGGCAATAGCTGGATGCGACATGGAGAATGGGTTTGTTTCTCCACAGAGGACACTGGACTTTCTCCTTACCAAAAAACGGAGAGAACTTTACTGAACACTGAACTGCTCTCTAGCAGCCGGTTGCTCCAGTGCACAGGAGATAAATCCAGCTCCTGCCAAACAGGCTGCCCAAAGAGCTTCCAGGCCACACCTGGGCTGGGGTGTGTCACTCCAAGCTACGCTGTTAGACCGGTATTTTCACGCCTCGTGTTGTGTCCCTCGTCCCTTGGCGCTGCTCTTAGCCTGGTTTGCAGGCTGCCCTGCTGCCACGTGCCCTGGCAGTGCTGGCACTCACGGGTCATGGTGTCGAGGCGCAGCATGCAGCACACGAAGTCGGAGAAGCCAACCCTGCCGGAGGCATCGCCGTAGCGCAGCATCATCAGGCGCAGCAGCTGCGCGTCGCTGGCCAGACCTGCCGAGGGAAGACACGCTGGGAGGGCATGGAGCAGCTCAGATGGCCTCCTGCACCCTGCCAACAAGCTGGGGCCACCCTCAGCCCCCTGCCCTGGCGTACATTCCTGGACAGCTCTTCCCCCACTTTGTGCCTAGGAGTCGGGGTAGGGTAATGGAAAGCCAAAAGTGACCTTACTCACTGACTCCCATGGCGACTTAAGTCAGCAAACTGCAAACATTGAGCTAACTAATCTAGTGTTATCTTGCTTTGCCTTTCTAGCTTTTATTTTGTATAAGAAAGGGTGATTTTCTTTGGCTCATAACTGTAAAAGTCTGAGTGTAGCATTTCCAATACCACTGGCTCTTTCTGCTAAAGAGGCAGATGCTGCATTGCTGCATGATAAGGCTATATGCTGCATAGCATGCTTGGGATTCTTAATTTTTACATTTTCTCTTCTATTAGAAAATGGTGAAGGGTGCATTTCTTTTTTAATAGCTGATTATTCAGTATTTGTGTCACAGTCTGTTTGGATGGAAATTGGTATTCAATTGAATGAACAAAAATTGCTTTTTAGAATGATTCTTTTATTAGTTAAATAAAACTACCATAAATGTGCTGGCTATATAAGAACAATGATTTAAATATATTTTGCACTAAAAGCTGATTTGCAAAACGAAAGGGAAATTTTCTGCAGAGAGCTGGACTGATAGCTTTGGTTTAATGTCTTCTCTGAGACTTCAGAGAAGTCTCATTCGCTCACTCCAGGTTTTAGTAGCTCAGCTGGATGTGAAGTAACTTTCTGGCTTTTTCAACCAGCTCTAAACTTTTCAGTTTTAAATGAACTCATCATGGAGCTAAATTAGTTGAAAAAGCAGAAATAAAAGAAATGGCTTTTCTACACCTGTGTAGGGAGAGAGAGAGCTGATGGAAGTGGTTTAGCACCACCATTGACAAACTCTGGTTGCGTGAGCCTAGTTGGAGGTCTCCAGCAGGAAGCAGGTACATTATGCTGAATACTTAAAGAATGGAAATACATTTGGGCTCAAGATACATTTCAAATTAAAGTAAACATGATTTTATATTATTTTCAAATGAGATAAAGATAGTAATTAAAAATTAATCTAATTAATTGTCTTCTTTGAATCTGGTTTTAAACCACTGTAGCAGTGAACAACGATTTCTATTTTTAACATTTTGAAGACAGCAGGATTCAATCAATCTCTCTTCGGAGACTGGATTCCAGCAAATATTACTTATGGGATGCTACAGTCAAATCACACCAGTAAAACACCAAGAATTTGGCCTGGTCAGTCTGGGATACACTTGCTCTGAAATCTGCTCACTCAGCAATGTCTCTCAACCTCATCAACCAGACTGAAGGGTCAGTCCTCTCTGTTCCAAAGACTTTTCAGCTGATTTGTAAGACTACTCCCCAAACCTTTTATCTGCTGGATTCCTCCCTCTGGTTTTAGCCAAGCTTTTACTTGCTGACTTGTTGTTTCCCTATTTATAAAAATTATTTTGAATCATTTGCTGTTGCCAAAGAGGAGTTTGTAAACACATCAGGCCAATGCTGCTGCGTTTCAGGGCAGAACTGCTGTTGATGCAGCTGGCCTGCTTTACTCTGATCCATTATTAATATTGGAAGCATTAGGAAAACAGTGAAAATTAAGCACACATTGAAGTGTTTTGTTGGGGAAAGCACTGAACATTTCAGGGAACAGCTGACTAGGAGCTGAATTTAGATACATTAATACCATTCCTAGAGGTAGCACAAAGCTCCCATACACCTTCTGGGGTTCCTGCTCAAAAGCCAGGACAGGGATTGTCCCATTGCCAAGCCAGATTCAGATGTCTGGCTCAGAAGGCAGCAAGAACAAGCTTGTAATTTTCTTCCCCACTCAGAACTACTTGTAGCCAAACATGTATTGAATTTGACACTTAACAGTGCCTTTTTATCCCTTCAAACAGCTGCACTGTTGTGACTGACAGGACTTTTCCATATACAATTTTCCTCCCAGTTTTACATTTTAGCATCTTTCTCACAGAATGGCCCTGGAAACTTCTCCTTTGACATTTGGCACATCAGTACTGCACTTCTCAGACAGATGCTGATACTTTCCCCAGCTCTCAAAAATATTATATATGCATATATAAAAAAGCTCTCTTTGCCCAGCAGCAAAAAAAATTATATATGCATCCCCTCAGCTGATGGCTTCCAGGGAGAGTAATCGTGCATCAGTTTTCTCCTGGGACAGCACCCCTCCGAGCTCCAGGCAGCCAAATGGGAGCTTCTATACTGTACTATTACAAGGGGATCGCTGTGTCAGAGAGGTACTTCACAGATAAAGTCTCCTTCGAGACGGCTCAGCTGAAATACTTCACTGGTGCACTCAGTAGCCAACAGAGGTCAGTGCAAACTAAACAAATGCATGTCGGTGTGGCATTCCCATCTAGACTTAATCACTGCCCTGGAGAGAAACTGCAGGAACTGAGGCAAATGCACGAATCCACTCTTCTTTTCTCCCTTCCTCTCTACTGGATGTTCCATCCATGACCTAGAAACAGGTTTGGCCAGTGCTGCACTTGTCTGCATCTCTCTGCTGGCTCCCCAACACAGATCTCTCGGCAGAGCTGTGATCTCACTGGCATCTCTGTGAAATCCAAGCCACTTTCTCCCTAAAACTATTTTTTTATTTCCTCTTTCTTTTTTATCCTTTTCTTCACTGCCAGGGGGAAAACAAGGGAAGCTGCTCGGCAGCTCTGGGCGTACCTGCTGCCTGTATCGCATTCTTCAGTTCAGCAACATCAAGAAATCCAGAATGGTTTCTGTCTTCCTTGAAGAAGATATCCTAAAATATAGTGCAAAGGCATATTTCAAGCTCTTACCACCCTTCCCCACATTTACTACTACAACCAGTTCTCCTCCCTTAATAAATATGCTGCAAAGTTCAACAGGTGAGATGGGGTGGCTGTGACAAGGGAGACCCATTTTCAGAAGGCTCTGACAATGTTACTGTGTAAGACATCTCAGAGTTTGGGGTGGGCAGAAGCATTTTTGCTTTCCTAACACACCACAAACCACATTTGAGGAGCTGTCAGTGGGAAGAGGACCCCTAACTAGCTGGTCTCAGACCATCTCAAGAGGAATGGAATAAATTGGAGTCCACCTAAACCTGAGACTTCAGAAAACCCTCCTGTCTTGCACCAAGGCTGGGGGAGAAGGACCTGACACAGAGAAGCTGCCATGCATGCCTTGAAGAATTTAGGTGGGACCCTAAATACTATGTCAATGCTTCCAGTGCTTGTCCTAGAGCAGAAACATTTCTCCCAGACAAACTCTCATTAGATCCTATACATTGCCACTAGAAACTGCAGAAATGAGGAAATGACATTTTTCAGGTGACTCTGTTCAAGAAGTAATTTCAGCTTAGAAAGTTTTTCTAATTAAAAAAAAAAAAAAAAAAGCATGCTAGCGGTGGCACAGACAGAGAGATTTCCATCAGATTCTGAGCCTAAATGGCCTTCCTACCTTTCCCCTCAATGTTCCTCAATGTTCTCTGTGCTGGAAAATCCTGCTTTACACACACCACTGCCTCCCTTGCGTGAGAGGAAGGAACTCTGTCCCACTAAGCAGCCTCTGCAAGGCTTCTCCCCGCAGCGCTCCGAGAGCACGGAGCATCTGCTCCCCGCTGCTGGAAACCCCCGGGCTCAGAACCCACAGTATCCACATAATCCCAAGTATCCACAGCCAGGAGAGAGCCACCCCCTCCCCCGTACCATGTACTTAGTGAGACTTCGCCAGAGGCTCCCGAACTCCTGCAGGGTGAGTCTTCCGTTCGAGTTGAGCTGCGCATTTAGTTAAGAATCGAGCACTTAATGAGAGCTGAACCTGGCTGTCTTTGTTGCCGGGGATGCTGCCTGCACAGAACTGAACAGATAAGATGCAGCCTCTCCTGTCGGTTACTTCGTGCTGAGAAAGCTGAGAATTTTCCTGCTCTCAGTCGTGTTTAAATCCATCTTCTTTGTCACATTGTACAGCTGCTCATGCCTGTGCTCGCAAACCACAGAAGGTTTCTATTTATAAGGTGCCTTTAACCACAGGGGAAGCTGCAGTGACATTTAGCCCTGGAGCACGGACACCCCTGTGAATGAACATGGCCCCATGGTCTTGCCTCTGCACGGGGCACCACAGGATTTGCTCTGCCTGGATCCTCCAGGAGAACAGGCACTGAGGAGTCAGGAGCATGAGGCGATGATCCCAAACCTGCTCCCCTCCATGCTCCAGCCAGGAGTCCTGGCAGACACACAGCACCCACCCCAATGCAGGATGGTAAAACCTGCCTGAAAGCAGAACTCATCACCAGTGAAATACAAACAGATAAGCACCACTGTCATGGAACCTGAGTGAAAAAAGCTGATCCTGACTTTGCAGGCCAGCATAGGTCACACTGTACATGGGTTATCTGCAGGCCAGAGAATTAAAAATCCATCCTGAATTATAGCAGAGCAGAGGCTTTGTCAGCTCTTTGCACATGCCATGCATTTACAGTACCCACTTATCCCAGGACAAGCTTTGCAGAGTGGGAAAAGTCTCTTTCATTGGCTAGATGCTGAAAGCTGGAAAAAGAGAGGGACTTCCGGTCATTTTTATTCATTCTGTGGCAGTTTTTAAAGGTCTGAAAATGTCTCAAAGCTTTTTCAAGGCATGGAGGAAAAGAGACAATGAGCAAGCAAAGGGGAAGAAACACATGAAGGAGATATATGTTTCCATCAAGGAGCTCTCTTGTTCTATAATGACCAGAAATGTATTTCTTGTGTTGTCTTGTTAAGAGTAAAAAGACTGAGTCATTCAGCTAAATAGGAAAGATAACACCAGAAATATACTTTGGGATGGCGTGCCAGGCCAGTGCCTGGCATTCAGCAGTGACAGTGTTTCTGCCCCTGACACCAGCACTGTTGGCACCCTGCTAAAGTGCCACCCCAGGCCAGCATGGTGCAACCTCCACAGAACAGCTGAGCTACACCTAAACTCTCTTCTGCCTCCTTGTCTCAGCTCTGCCTAAAACCCCACCCAAGGCTGAAGCTTAGCCAAGCCCCAGAGAGGGCAAAATGAGAGCAAAGATGGTAGCAGAAGGTCGATCCTCACCTTTCAGCAGACACACCAGTGCCAAGGCATGCACAGCAAAGTCCTGCATGGACTATGGGCCAGTTATTTATAGGGAATTGGGGCTAATATTTACTTGCAGGTCCTCACACTGGGATGCTCAGCTCAGCCATAACTCAAGGCAAGGATGGGCAGCACCAGGGAAGTTTATTGCTTCTGCTGAAAGGATACATCCATCAGAGCTAAAATGCCTCTGCATGAATCAAAGCTGAATCTCCCTCCCAGGCTGGTCATTTCATCTGCAAGGATTGACAAAACAGAAGGAATTAGCAAGAGCAAGGGCTGTGACAGGCATCAGGACACTGTTCTGAAGGAAGGAGGACACCAGGCTGAAGGCTCACACAGCTGAAAAGCCCCAGCTCTGGTTCAGGTTCTCAAACAGCAGCAAGGGCTTTGTGCCAAGCTGAGGGAACCTGCACATCTCAGACACCTCTACCTTCCCCAAGGACAGTTTGGGCACACTCTGCACAGCCCCTGCCCACGGATGGAAACACTTCCCTCTTGAAATAAGGAAAATTACAATGACAAGAAAGGCCATTTATGCTGATTTAGCAAGTCCTAAGAGCACTTTGAGCCTTGTGCATGGCTGAGTTGGCTCCAGCCCCCCAGCTGTGCCCCTCTGTCATCCCACAGTGCAGTAAGCCACAATGAGGACTGTTTAAGGACCATGGGGACACCATTAAATCCTATGTCTAAGGATAGGGAAGACAAAAAACAGTAGTTGGGCTGTAAAAGCTTTACCTTGCAAGATCACTTCATTAAGGAGTTGTTGCAGCTGCGAGGCATCAATAGTTGAGCCCTGATGCAAAATAAAACACAAAGAGAGGTCTGTGAGCATAAAGTTTTCTCCTGTGTCACTTTTCCCCAAACCTTTTTTTCTCAGGCACGGTGGCAACCAAGAACCTCTGTTAATACACATCAAAGGAGCAGCAGCATCCCCTCTGGAGCATAAGAAGGCCCTCCACGCTGCTGGGCCACTCCAGGTCCTTCCCTACAGCTGCAGGGGAGTTCCAGGGATGGGGAGCTGTGGATGGGCAGCACAGCAGGCACTGTGTGAGTGGGCTGGGAGCACAGGCACTGCTGCCCATCCGCCATCCCTGCCGAGGCACCCCGGGGTGCCCGGCGTGGCAGCCCTGCTCATTTTCACCTTCACGCATTGATATAACCATTAACTGTGAGGGGTTCATTGTGCACAGGCTTCTGACAGCGATTTTTTTCCTCTTGACTAAGTCAAGGAGTTCTTTATAACAGTTTATTAAACCATTAAAAGCATCTCCTGTGAACACAGAGCTTGGCTCTGAAAGAGCAGGAATCAATTACTCAAACACTGACTGATGTCTGGTTTCCAAGTGCTGAGAAGGCAAATGGAAAATGATGCTGATGAGGTGGAGGGGGGGGGGGGGGGGGGGGGGGGAACTACCCAAGGCTTTCTAATTGCTTCAAGCAAATAAACAAACCAAAGCAGGAAAAGGAAAAAAAAGGAAGTACACATGCAAGCCCATCACCAGCTCAACAATAAATCTCTGATATTCCACTGATATATGGCACTAGACAATCTATCCCAGCTGAATGTCCCATTTTTCTGGGGGTTTTGGCAGGTTAATCAATACCATTTTCAGGGTATCCACTTGAGGATTGAGCAACATTTAAAAATAAAAAAAAAATTCTAAATGGATTTGTATCAACATCATAGATCAGTTTTTCTTTTTGCAAGTCCACAAGTGGTTTTTAATTTTTTTTCAGCAGTATGTTCTAGAGAGGGTACCTGCTTAGCGTATCTTAGGAAAAGAGCCTTATAGGAGATGTCCTGGTTCTGTCTTGGTACATCCTGCATCAAAAACAAAGGGGCAGTCAATAAATAATTCAGCTACAAAACAACTGGAGGCAAAAGTCTGCGGATCCAAACAGCACTTTAGAGGGGCAGGGAATGTACAGCACAGGCTGCAGTTTTCACACCCCCAAAATAAAGTGGAGTAGGAGTGAACAACTGCTACTGCAATGAAGGAAGAAGCATATTTTGGATGTTAGCAGCTAGTACAACCAGGAAGGAGGAGTTCAGGGCTTAAGGAAGATGGCAGAACACATCGAGGATGGAATTCAGCAAGTCAATACATGAGTATGGAGATACAAGACCTGATGCTTATTGGTGGACCTTGGTTGGGACCACTGCTCAGGGCATGGGAAGATTCATGTGAACCAAGAAAAGGGAGCATAAATTGACTTCCTTGTACCTTCTCAATCCCATGACAAGCTTGGACTATATCTGAGCAATTGCAATTCAATGGTTAAGTGATTTTTTTTTCAACCTTCCGGTGAAAAGATCCACCAGACAGTAAGGGGAATTATCCTTAACATTATAAAGTTTTCAGAAAAAAATCTAACTCCAAGACCCAATGCCTTCATCTCTGTGTGAGATACTTCATACCAAAGAAGCCCAAATATCTGAACAGGAGCAGAAACAGTGGGTACCACAATTCATCAAAGTCAAAGCATTGGCTAAGGACAACAGCCAGGTAAACTGACAGCTTGTCAATGGAAAAAGATAAAAAGTCACCGTTTACACTACCCCTCTAATGGGGCTTAATTGTGTGCTTGAAAATGAATCACAAGGAAAGGACTCAGTTTTCTGTTCTCCTGAAGCAGCTTCACACCTCTGGCTTCAAAGATCTGTGTCTTTGAAGGTTGTAAATAGCAGTCTCTCAGTGAAAGGGTTTTGCTGGTGGGACCAGCAGGGGCTGGACCAGCCCTGGCAATGTGCACAGCTCACAGCAAGAAGTTAAAAAATCCATGGTAGCTGGGCTGGAGAGGACAAAAAGTGGGTTGAACTAGAGATGCAGCCAGTTTCAAAGTGTAGCTTGCTTTACGTCTCTGTCTATGAAGATATCCTGATGAAAATCAGCAGAAATCTGATTTGAGTCTCATCCATATGGACACCTGTGCTTTATAGGGTACAAGCACTTAAATTGAATCATTCCCATGGGGAAGGCATGTCCAATCCCACTCACATGAATTGTTTCCCTCTCTCTCCCCCATAGATATATACTCATTTTACAGACATTGAAAGAAATTAGAATCTTTTAAGCATTCTCTCCCCTGCTATATTTGGTTTGTCAAAGTGTTAAAAGGACATTTGGACAGACTGACAAAGGGACTGTATAAGACCTGTTTCCTCAAAAATCAGGCTCTGAAATAGACATATGAGAAGAGGAAGGCTTTGTTGTCACTCCCATCTCTCCAGAGAGGTGTCCTGCCCTTCCAGCAAGGTTGCAGGGTGCCAGAATCAAACTCTGGGACAGTAGTAGGTGGTAAAGAGAGAAAAGAGCAGATGAAAAGCAGTCAGTTGAGGTGACCAAATGATCACCAGCAGAACCTACACCAATTTTCAGACTCTTACCATTGACAGCACTGGGCTGGTCGGGGAGTTTGAGTTCCTAGAAAAGAGTTACAAGAATCAAACTGGAAGAAAAGAGCCCTTTCCAGAGGGTTGTGGTGCAAGGCAGGCACCACCAGCAGCACTCACCCAGCCCACAGCCCCACAGGATGCTCAGCACCCATGGCCCAGCCTGGCCCAGTTCAGCCAAGGCTGCTGCACCAGTCCTGGGTGTCTCTGTGCCGCCAGGTCTGAGTCTCCAGCTGCTCTGGAGTCACTGCTCTCCCCAAGCCAGCTCTGTTGATACCAGCAGCAGAGAAAGGGTAGCTTGTCTCACCCTGAGCATGCCAGGACTAACCTCACCAAACACAAAGCCCTGTCTTGAGCCACAGAAATTTTTCATTTCCTTTCTCTTTGCTCACTTTAACAGTCAGGAATAAAAACAGCACCCAGGCTTTTAAAAGGCAACATCTAAATGTCTTCAGACTGCCTGGAACTGGGCCAGGGTCACCATTTCTAAGACACACTTAGCAGCCACATTCAGTACTTGAGTTTTGCTTTCAGTAGAGAAATTAGACAAGCCATGTTCTATTTTTATAACTTCAGTATGGGTAAGTGCTGCAAAAACCCACTGGAAGGTCATCTCCACACTTGGCCAAGCTCAGGAAGGTCTGTGAGGGTCAGAGGCTCTCCTGAAAAGCTCAGCTCCAGGGCTGAGCTGTCTCACACATGACTCAGTCTGCTGAAGGCAGTCCAGCCCACAGCACTGACTCCTTCTGTTTGCTTCTATAAGTCAGGAGCTGCCTCAGTTGGTTCTGGGCTATTTTTGCCAGGGGCCAAAGCCTGGAAAGCAATCTCATTATCAAGATATGGGCCAGTGAGGTAAGAGCAGCAATCACATCCACTCTAAAGCTTGCTGAGGGAAAGGCAGTGCAGGGGTGATGTTTGCAGGTCATTTGGTGAATGCCTCAGGTAAGCTTGCTTACCTGCAGTAAACCACACCCAAATGTAATACCACATCCACGTGGTAATGTGAATGTGTGTGTGTAGTAATAGCTGCCTTTGCATGAACTCAGACACCATTTTTCCACTAAACTTATCTTCAAGGCTGCTCTCCTGCCTACAGGGAGCCCTGCCTATGAGGTGGCTGAGTGAAAGGATCAAGGCCTTTCACTGCTCTTGGATTCTCCAGGTCCCACTCCAGGCAGAATGGGATGTGATCCATCTGGCGTCCAGCCAGCAGAACATAAGAAACTACCAAATAGCTGTTAAGAATTAGGGAAAACAAACTCCCAATCCTCCTCTCAGCAAATGTTCCCACAATCAGGGGTAGAGGACAGATCTCACAATTATTGCTCTCTTTGTGCCAAGCTGAGACCCTTGGTGGCTGCAGATGAGCCCCTGCCCTGCTCTGCAGTGGCCACCCTTGCACAACTGAGTGTACACTGATCCTCCTCAATTCCTTTACATTCTTCTGTGCCTTCCCCACCCTCCAAGGATACACTAAAAGCAAAATGCCACATCAGTTATCTTGACATTAAATAGTTAATTCCTGGCACACTGTGAGTTTGGGGCCTTTAAGGAGTGTGTATGATCTTACTCATGGTAGTCTTGATTCTTTATGAAAATTCGTAAGAGAAATTCGAATTCCTGGTCCTCTGTTGCAGCAGGAACAACGGCATAGGTTCCTGGGCTCAGGATAAAGTAGCTGGTCACATCTCGAATCCGGAGAAAGATTTGCTTCAGAACTCTGGAGTTCTCCTGAAAGAAAAATACAGCTGGCTCTCTTCCTGTTAGGAACCAAAGTAAATCAGACCAGCAGCCTGCCATTGCCACACCTCTCTGAATGCACACTGCCTCTATCACGCCTCATCCTCCCCCATGCCTGAAAAGCCCCTTCAGGGGACAGGCTTTTTCCAAGGACATATCAAAGTTGCTCAAAGGTGGAGAAACTGCAACAAACAAAAGCCAAAATGAATGTAAGGAGATTTGAAGAGAACTTCAATTAATGTTAAGCAGAGTTCATAAAGGAATCAAGAATGAATACTATTACTAAAAATTTCCCTGAGATCTTCTGTGACTCAAAGAGGTCAGAGAGCCCTCTAAGCATGTCACACAGATGACAGTGCTTCAAGAATCCCAATCCAAACTAGCAAGTGTCACAAGAAAACGGAGTATTCTGATCTTTCATCTGTTATTCCAGTATTTTTTTGCTGAGATGAAACAAATATAATGCAACAGCTATTACTATGATGACATGTAAAGATAGCATAATAAAAAACCCTTCCTTAACATATTCCCCAAAATATATCAGCATGTATAAATTCCATTTAGAATGGTTATACAGCGTGGCAGAGTTATTTATGAGCCATGCCTTTGGGAGACAATAACATAAAACTGCTATTTTGGAAGAAAAAAAAATAGGATGACTAGTGTTACAGACGGCTGGGAGGTACACAGACTGCCAAGTATTATGGGTCAGATCTTGAGCAGATAGAAATGGGCACTGCTGCAAAGAAATAAATGGTGTAATACTTTTTTTTCCTCCACTTTTGAGCCTTATTCTGCATTCCTTCTGGTAAAAAGCAGAAGTAGATTAATATCTCAATGGAATCAAAACTGGTGTGAGATAAGAATCAGCCTCTACACATTTCTCAGCTCTATCACACAACATTAACCTTCCCTCACAGCCATGTATTAGTGTTCCACGTCTATATTTAATCAAAGGCTTCCTAGAGCTATCAGATACGTCCATTCTGCTTTGCATCCTTGCCTGCACTGCATTCTCCTCTCATCCTGCCAAGGGATAATACTCCTTTTACTTCACAGCAACAATTTGATGCATCTCAAAAGGTACCAAACAACGGATGCTGCTGCTAATGAATCATAGCAGGGAAAGCAGATCTGGGAGGAAGAGTGAAGCCACATGAATCTTGCCAACTGCACTCTTCCTTGTGCAAAGAAATCCCTTGTAAACTTCTCCCCAAAGGTGTTCTGACTGCTCTCAGGCACTGAGGCTGAACAATGGGAAATTAACTGAGGGAATGGCACTCACACCCAGGTTGGTTTTAGCTCCTCTTGGCTTTTGCTGCTACCAGGACGGAACACCAGGCTGGCTGTGAGGAGCTGGTAGAGCAGCTCTCATATTAAAATACTTAGTGTGTGTCCATGAGGGAATATTTTTTGTATAATCCTCTGTATGAATATGCACCAATATCATTATATTGATAAAAGCTATGGTGTGACAGAGCAGTCCTACTGCTCCCTGGCCCTTGCTGCCCAGGTGCTCCACAGTAATCCTGGTGCCTCCAGTAGCGCTCTGTTCTGGCCCTGCCCTCCAGCTCCTGTGTAGGAGGAGGTCACTCATAAGGTCAGACTGAGCCCAAAGGGAGCCTGAGGTGAGCTATGGGCTGGCAGCCCACAGAGGCCATTTCATCCAGCTTTGACAAACTCATTGAGGTTCATCCATCCTTGATCCATCTCATACCAAGAGAGAGAAAACACACCTGAGCATCAACTGGAGGGGAAGCAAAAATTTAAAGCAAGAATAGAGAAAATCTGTCTCCTAGTCTGCTTCCTGATTAAATAACCCCTTTTTTGAGTGAACCAAGACCTATATCATCACCTCCCAGTAAAGGTCACGCCTGTTAAAATGGGTAACTAATCAAGGTAGACACACATTGTGCAAGAGCACAGAGAGAACTCCATGTCTGGTGACTTTGGGGATGCTGAAAGGAGCAATTTCCCTTTCACCAGGAGCAGCAGCTCTTTCTGAGTGGCACAGCTGGCACGATGGAGTGCTGCAGGCTTGATACCTGCACAGGACAGAGGATATTCTCATAGAGGGATAGTGAGCTCCACTTGCTGGAGGGATGTGCTTTTAATGACACCTTTTATTTCTCGGACACACTTTTTTTATGAGCTACAACGCCATGCTCTTCCTTTATGAGGAGCTGTTAAACTTATGGCATCAATTATTTAAAGTCTGGGACTAAGGCAAACCTTTCCAGTAATAGAATGAGGAGACATTAGGGTTCTAGCAATCCCTGCTTCCTTTTTAGTCTTTGGGTTTGGAACAATAGCCTCCCACAGTCATCAGCCAACAACAAAAATACTTTGGGAAAGGTGAGCATCCATCCACACTAGCAACTGTGCTTTCAGTAAGCCTGGTAATGCTCTGAGAACAGCTTGAAAAGGCACCTTTCTGGACAGTCACCAAGAAAAAACCCAGAGAAATTGCAGTGGAGGTCCCAGGTGTCTGAGTGGATTTCGTCTACAGTGGTCTCCAGCAAAGGCTCTCATGTGTTTCATAAATGTTTCTACATGGCTTTTCAGATAGAAAACAGGAGGATAAGTAAGACAGCCCACTCTGGGTAATGAGAGACAATCTGCTTCCCTACTATACCTGGGGTGCTGCTCAAGGGCTGTGGCTAGTCCTGGCTGTCATGCCTTGTGCCCAGCCAGCGCGGCATGTCACCAGTACTGCTGGTACAGATGATATTGCCCTGGCACATCTTCTAACCTGGGGACTCCATGAGTTTCCCAGGGCTATTCTGGGATGCTACAGAACTAAAAGTGCCACCTTTGTTCCTTAAGACATGAATAAAAGAAACTAAGCTTGCTTAACTCTATTTTTACTCTGAGTTTCTACAATAGAAGGCACCCAGAAATTCACACCGCATACTGACTTTTTAACAGCCCAAAAGACAATTCAGTCTTGTATTCCTAAACCACACAGAGAACAACAGTGCCCACATGGTACCTGATTGTGCTTACCGTGGTAATGAAAAAGCCAATCTTCAGGTTTTTTTCATCCTGCACATGCTCAGCGTGTTTTTGCATGAGTGAAATTGCTACATTACAGGTTTTTGGGTTGTGATCTAGCACTTTGAAAAAATACTGAGGGTTTGTTGAAGCTGCACCTGATGAGAAAGTGTTAATAGGTTAACAGTAGGCTGAGAGATGTTCCAGCAGTAGCCTGTTGTGTAAGATCTTGCTTGTGTTGACCCAGAGGAACAGGCAGTCACTGCTCCAAGATCCTTTCATTAGAGCAGAGCACTAATGTAGTCACTGCATCAGAAATTGAGGCATCTGGAGGTAAACTAATTGCACATTTATCATTTAGAAATCTTTGGCAAAGTCACGGAAGTCATGTGGATTTCTCAACCCCTCTACATCTGCTTCACCTACATGGCAACATGGCACACTTTCCCAGCAGCAGAAAAGCAGTGGCTCTTGATCAGGCACCTGACCCAGAGGCTGAGCTGGAAAGGACTGTGGTTTTGAGATGATAAAAACATAGAAAAGGACAAAAGGGTGCAAAGCTATCCTCTTCTTCCCTGCTGCTAATGTTTGTGATGGACAGACAGAATGTTGAGCACCAGAGGGAATCAGCTGCTTCTTGGCCAAGGCTTTGGTTAACAGGAAGCATTCCTGATTAAAAAAAAAAAATAACAAAATGCCCAAAGTGGAAAAAAAGTACTGAGATGGCAGCAGTGTAGAATTTAAGCCAGATCCCTGTGTTGGGTGGCCTTGAAAGTTGCAAATTCAATGATTGCACTTGGACAGGGACTTTGCTAGAGGGCTGTTGGGAAACAGCTCTAAGGAAAACAGCTCTGCCTGCACACTCTCAGTTCAGGGCCTTCTCTGGAGCTTGGCACACCCCATCTTTCCATTTTGTAGCCCCTTGCCTACAGGAAGCCCCTGCACCTCCTTGCTCATTCCCAGTGACTGTGGTGTGCAGCAGCACAGGCATTGCTTTGTTATCACACCTTGGAGACCTGGTGATCAGGTTAGAAGCAGAAGCCTGAAATCCATAAGCCAAAACCTGTTTGCTGCCAAGTCAAGGACTGTCATTTGAGAAAAAAAGATGCCTCTTCACTGATCAGATACTACCATCCTAGATTAAAAACATAAAGTCCAAACACTGATGCAGCTGTAAAAAAAAAAAAAGTGATATGAGATAAGATAAAAATGTAAAAATTTACTACTACTGATTGGAGCTTACAATGTCAGAAGAGTTCTTGCACAGGCAGTAAAACCACTGATATTATCAGCACAAAAAGACCTTTTTACCTTAAAAAATAGAGCTTTGTAGCACAATTTTTTTCATTCCATATCCATTTAATTTCAGAGTACTTTTCGCTATGTAAAATCAACAGCATATTTGCCAGACTAGACTTTCTGATGAGGTCCCCAGTAACACCTACTGCAACTGGCTGAAAGAAGATCTACAAGATCATTTTGACTTAAAGAGTCCAGGGTTCCTAAATCACAAGTCTCCCTTTTTAACTCAGCAGCCAGTGCTGTTGCTTTGTTTCTGCCTGTTTAGCTGATAAGTGCTGTAATGGAAAAAGCAGGCATTAACACCTGGCAATCAATACTTGTGCAATTCAGTGCTCAGAGTCAATGTTTCACATCAGTGGAGAGGAGGAGACAACCAGGTGACTGCAGGGAGCATCCATTACCTGAGGAATAGCGGTTCCTCCTGGTGGGAAGGCCTGGCCTCCACAGGTTGGTGTAGCTGTTCAGAGACCACGTTGTGTAGGGCTCATCTCCAAAGTCCAGAAATGTTGGGGTGTTGTTACATATATACAGCCATGAAAACTGCTCCTGGAAGTTCTTACAGGACATCCTGCAGAGAAAGAGGGAAATCTCATCATTCAGTTTAAAACAGAAGAGCATTGCCAACAGGTAAGGGAGGGAATCCTGGCCCTCTACACAGCCCTGGTGGGGCACATTTGGAGAGCTGTGTCCAGTTCTGGGCTCCTCAGTACAAGAGAGGCATGGAGCTCCTGGAGAAGGTCCAGCAGAGGACAACAAAGATGATCAAGGGACTGGAGCATCTCTCTTATGAGGAAAAGGCTGAGGGAGCTGGGCCTGTTCAGCCTTGAGAGGGAACCTCATCAGTGTCAGCATCTGAAGGGAGGGTGTCAGAGGTTGAACCAGGCTCTGCTCCTTGGTGCCAAGCAATAGCACAAGAGGCAACAGGCAGAAACAGATATACAGAAAATTCCACCTGAATAAGAGGAAAAATTCCTTTACTGTGCAACTGACCACACACTGGAACATATTTCCCAGAGAGGGTGTGGAGTCTCCCTCACTGGAGTATTCCACAGCCATATTATCACAATCCTGTGCCCTGTGCTCTGGGATGACCCTGCTTGGGCAGGAGGCTGGACCAGATGACCCACGGTGGTACCTTCTTCCACTCTGTGATTCTGCGAAGACACCAGTTAGGTATCCACAATCACCCCATGTCTTTAAAAAGGGATTGCTGAGGGCACTGCAGGCACCTGCAGCTCTGCTGGCTGCTACCTTGCAGGAGAGCTCAGCTCTCAATGCATTTTGGGCTGCCCCAACTGCCCCTAATGCCCCAGGGTAAACCACAGGGCATGTGCAGGGGTATCTTGCTGGAGCCCTGCCACCTCCAGCACACCTTCGCCACTGTCCCTTGCCCTTGTACCTCCACAGTGTTCTGTCCCACGCTCATTCTTCATGTGTGTCAGACCCACCTGCTGTTGCCCTGCTTTCCTCAGAGCCCCACAGGGCACGTGTGCACTTTCTGAATAATCAGTTTTTCTGAGGGACAGCCCATGCATGGCTAAGCTGTATCTGGGAGCAACCAGAGGCAGTGAAAAGCCACAAGCACCTGCAGAGCAATCAAGTGCACAAGCTCAGTGACCTGCTTAGTCAACTGTCCCCTTCAAGCATCTGTCAGTCCAGAGTTCAAACCACATACTTTATGAGGAGAGGTGGTGTGACAAAATGACCAGGTATCAGAGGGTTGGATTTTTAGTTCTCTCACTTTTCTTTTTTTTTTTTTTTCATCAGCCTGTCACTTAATCTTGGCCAACTCAATTTTTTCAGGTCTTGTTTTCACTGAAACCACAGGGTCAGGACAATCTCTAGTTTGCTGCTTGCACATAGCTAACTCAGGGTGCCTTGAGTCACCCCAGAAATAGAGAACTGCCAAAATTACTTTTGTTGGTCTCAGATTCAGTCAAAGAGAGAAACTGAGAGTTTCTAACCAGGCAGAAGCCTGGGAGTCTGTTGGAAAAGAATGTAAATAATTCTTTATCTCTTGTTGTTCACATTGTTTATAGTTAAGTTCTACCACTGTGTGTCATGCACTGTGCACCAATGGTGTGGTTGTTTTCACTTCAGGACCAATGGAGTTGATCTGCACAAAGCTCTGTATAAAGAGTGATGCATTTTGAAATAAATCAGAGTTATACTCTCAGCCTTCTGAAGTGGAGTCATGTCATTCCTGTCCTGCCTCAACAGTGTCACACTTTTTCCATAATGAAGGTGAACAGAAAACTCAGTAGACAAAGGATCAATAGGGAAATACCAGAATTCTCCATCATCCTTATTTCTGAGGAGGGCTTCTCTGTATTTAGGCTCAACATGGTCCCATTGAGGAGACCTGCAAAAAAGAACAAATCAACAAGATGTGAGGCACAATTTTTCATCTTTGGCCTGTTCCTCTAACCAGCCTGTCAGGCCATGAGGGATCAGGAGAGGGGAACAAACTGTGCATTGGAAACAGAATTGTGTGTGATAACTTCACAGCAAGGCCAGCAAATGAAGCTTTGTGCCTTTGCTGTGCCTGAGCTGCCCAGTCTGGGGTGGGGAATCCTCCCTGCTGTTCTGGTCACCTGTCCCCGTGCTGGAGAGGTTAGTGAGGCACCAAGCCACAGCACTCTGAAGCACTGGTATTCCACTGACATGAAGAGAGCACATTACCCAGTCAAATGTTTTGTTTCCAAGCAGCATGTTTATAATTAAGTGATAATTGTACTTTCTGCCGAGTTTAAGATAAATAAACAGCACGTGAATCAATAATTTATTGATCTGTGCAGCTTACCTGTGAATGTGCTACGGACATTTCAATTACACTTAGGATTGTAGTTCACCCTTCCAAAAGGATGGGAGGATGCTGCCTGAGCAGAGAGTTGTTATCCTAGTCTTAGACACATCTACACAACCCACCAACCCCTCCAGATGCAACACTCCAGCCTGATTTTTCTCAGCAGAGTGCCTGTGTGTAGTCCTAGGGAGGGTTGGGATGCTATTAAATAACCTAACAGTGGCACAAGAACATCCCTCTAATCATGGAAACACTGATGCAATTCCAAAAGGAAAACTAAGATCTATTTATTTACAAAATACTGTTGCAGTCTATATCATTTCTTTCTTTAAGAAGGAGATGTTAGATTATCACACAGGCAGCAAAGTGGTCCTTGCATCCCCAAAGCTGCATGAAGGATCCGAAAGATTAGTTGAAGCCATTCCCTGGCACTTTGCCTGGAATAACCAAGGACCCATCCTGTCCCTCTGTGTCAATACTGCCCTGCTCCATGGACTTCCCAGAGTCACTCTCATGGGAGCAGAAGAAAGAGGAGGAAGGTGAATGTGTGATTTCTGCAGAAGAATTCAACAGAAGGAACCAGCCAGTATCTAAGGACATGGTCAAAGCTTGCTCCAGGAAGTAAGAGCTCTTTCATCCATGACCTCTGTAGAATTATGCACTGGGTAAAATGCATACGCATGGACAAGAAGGGACACCTGAGCCTAGCAAGGCTGCATTAATTTTCCCTGGATTGGATTTCTGCAGGCAGTTGCTATGCAGATGGAAATGATGTTCATAATGAACTGATTTGGAAATATCTGTTTAGTTAAAATGGGTGCAGGGCAGAAGTTTTCTTATAAAAGATTGATTCCCTATGACATTAAAGCTTTAAGACCCTACTTATCACTCCAGGGCCCCTTCCACTCCCCATGGCCCCATGGATTCCAGATCCTGATGATATGTTTCCAGCCATTCTTGTAAGGGATCTGTAAAGACGAAAGAAAAACAAACTAAGTCACAGCTTTTCACAATTGTGATATTCAGTGAAGAGAAAGGTAATAAAAAGGAACTTCCTCTACACCTTAGAGACCAGATTTAACCTCTGATCTCATTTTCCCAGCAATGAAAAATCAGTGCCTTCTGCTACACTGCAAAGGAATGATGTGTGAGAGAAAACAGCACCCATTTTGCTTTCCCGAGGATAGTGATTAGCTGACACAGAGAGAAGCAGCAGCATTCCTGTCACACTGCATGAATTCAACAGCCTTGGGAAATTCCAGTGCCTAATTCTGCACATCTGATGCTGTGAGTCAGCAAAGGCTGAGACTTTGAGGAATGAGGTCACCAGACTGCCTGGAGTGAAAGCCAACATTCAGCAAAGAGAGTGGATGACAAACAGAACCTGTGGGTCTGTATCTACAATGCTGTGCTTTGCAGCAGCTGGGGTTTCTGGTGCTTTCCTCCTTTTGTTGCCACTGATTTAAATCAGAAGCAATTAACTTTTGCCAGTGAAGCCAAAATGGTAGAAACGGAGAGGCAAACCTTTGTTTTCTAGCTCTCCTTATGCACACAGGCGGTGTTGGAAACAATATTATGGCAGTCTCTTCCCAGGCAAAGGCCCAGCCTCTAATCATTTCCCCTCAGGACAACCCCTTGGATGTCTTGGCACTTCATTAAGTGGGGCAAAGACTGTTTCTCCTCTCTCACACATCAGGAGCAGCAGGAAGCTGGAACAGCCTACTTCTCCTCCAGCAGAATTGGGCACTCTTCTGCCCCTGCCCTGCAAAGAGACATCTGGGGCTTTCTCTGGAGCTTGGCAACCCCCATCTTTCCATTTTGTAGCCCCTTGCCTCCAAGAAGCAGCATGCTGGCTGTGATGATAGCACCAAGCATGCCATGGCACGAGAAAACCAACAGAGAGCGGGATAAGGGAGAAAGTAGCTTAGGGAAAGCAACATCCCCTTTCCAAGGTATTTTAGGTTCCAAGATACAAACGTTTTGTAGCTATCTTGCTTGACAGCTTAGCTATTGTTTGGTTTCTTTCTTCACTGTTAACTCTCCCTGTGTGCACTACAGCTTACTGGGCTAAGCCATGTTCTGACTTCTGGCTGTAAAAAATCCTTAATTTCTTTTGATCCATGTGATAAATTTGTTTTCAGATCATCAATATTAATATTCAGCCAGGAGCAGTTCTGCATGAGTACAACAGCTTTAAAAGATGGAGAAATGCTGTTCTTGAACCAGCGATTTACTTTTCATACAGTGATTTTTGGCAGCTTGTGATTGAGCTGAACAAATGTAGATTTGCATCATATGACAAATCCCACAATTTCAGCCAGTGCTTCTACTTGCATTTGAAACACGAAAGCGCATTTTTAAAGAGTCAGCATGGAACAAAAATCTCCAGAAATCTCCATATTTGACACACTGGTATTGTATTGTATTTGGGACACACTGCTGAGGTACCCCAAAACAAGAGTAAATTTCAGTTGCATTTTCCATTAGAAAACAACATATATTCAGATATCCTCCCTCTTTTTGTTGTGCCAGAGTCCTTCCATCTCTTGGAATTTGAACTATGTGCTTTCAACAATCCCCCCTGAGTGTGAAGCTAATTCACATCACTCTGATGGGAACAGCAACACAACCACCCTGCAGTAGATCATCAGTACAAGATCTCCAGGCAGGAGCAAGTCCCTGACCTTACCTTCACAGCTCCTGTGATGGTGTAGGCATGGCCCTGTACAATCCCATTCCTCAGCTCTATGTTCCTCCTTGACTGCAGAAGGGAGAAAGCACAGCTTTTAGCTCCTGCCACACCATACAGACACAGCCACCAGCTCCCAGAACTGTCATTTGCCACAGCACTAAATAAAGCCTTGGGTCTGACCACAACAGTATCTCAGAGATACTCCACAGGAATGTGTCTGCTATTCCCACTGCAGCTATAAGCAACCCAGGAAATTTAACAAAGCTATAGATCTACGCTTCTTTGCAAGTCCTTCCACGACGCAGAGCTGCTGCAACTGCAGAAAGACCTGGACTGGGTGACTTGCAGTCAGACTTGGGGACTGCAGAATTTCCCTGCCACCCACAGCCAGGTCAGCCACCTGAGCTGAGGGAACAGTCCTTGGCTTGTTTGCAGCTGCCAAGCTTCCTGTCCTGAGGAAGCAGGCACCTCAGGAGCAGTGTCACACACTTCACAGACACATGTCACATGCTGTAGGGGAAGCCTTGGGGTCATCTTGTCAAAGGTTCTTGCTGAATATCACAAAGCCTTTTGCAACTTCCCAGCACTAATGCCAGTAAGCCTGCAAGCCACAATGAGAGAATTACATCCTTTCACAGAAGAGAGGTGTGTTTTGGCCTTGCCAGAGTTGATCACAAAGTTAGGAGGCTGAAATCAGGCCTGCTGGAAGAGGACACCACTCTACTGCAGTGGAATTAGCCAAGAGAGAAGCTACAGCCCCCTGTGGGACAGAGCAATCCATCTACATCTGCCCAAATGCCTTTACAGTGCTTACCAAATAATCTTATCCACTTTCTGCTGCCAAGATCACTTCAGGCATCCATAAACTGTAACTATTTTACAGAGTGATTATGGCTTTCCTTTTCCCCTCCAAAGAGAAGCCTTTGTGCAAACACAGTGAACCAAGAGAGGCTGTGTGACTCACCTGGCCTGAGGTGCTGCACCCCATGAGACACCGAGATTTGTCAGCTGCTTTCAGGATCTCCTCCAGATCAGGAGGTGGGTCCTTCAATGAAAACTGCACTTGGACTCCACCTGTGAGGTCTACTAAAGCATCTGAAAGGTAACCTCCATTCAAGTTCTGGTAGGAGCCTTGTAGCCTATGGAAAAATTTAAAAATATTTTTAAAAAAGGAAAAAATAAGAGAGAGAGGTGTTAATGAATCCTTACACTGTTTTCATAAACAATACACAGTGCTTGCTTTAAAAATGAATGTGTGCATTGAGGTGGTGAGCACAGGGGAGCTGGGGTGTGCAGACATTGTGGCCAGGTAATGAAAGGAAACATGATCAAAATACTTGGCCAGGCACAACACATGCCCTGCAGAAGGAAGGAGACAAAGGGGGAGCTTTTTCTATGCTTTCATCCCCTTCTGAGGCAGCTGTCCAGAGCCATTCACAGACAGTGGAAAATAATAAGGTGCATCTCATGCCAAGACAGGCATTTTTGGGAGATGAGCTGCATCTCATCATGAAGCATCCAGTTTCTCTTTTCTGAACAGGAAGGGAGCCAAGGATGACTAGATCAAATGGATGTTTCAGGTCAAATAGAGCTGAACTGTTACTTTCTACATCCTACTTATACAGGACTCTTCACAAAAATAGCTAATATTCCTTTTGCAAATGAGGAAAAGGAAAAGAAAGGTGAAGGTATTTACCCATGCTTCCAGGACAAGGCAGAAATGGGTTCTCAGCACTGTTCCCAGTTCACTCTGCTAGAGCGCAATAATAGGATAATAATTTAATATTGCCAACACAGCCCTTGTTGTTTTTATCGTGTGGTTTTTATTGAGACAGCAAATAAGCTGGAACATGCTGTACTTAGAGCAGGTAGAGCATGCTGTTAAACCCCACCATACACACTGTATTTAATGAATGTAATCAAATGAACTCTGCAGCTAATTGTATTTTGAAGAGTTGTCCTTGTCTTACACTGATGAAAAGAATTTGTCTTGGGCACTGGGGAATAACCTCTCCAATGGGAATCTCATAAACAGCATTGCTTGCAACTTTAATTTAATAGAGGTTTGGTATGCATTGTAATTAAAATCTTATGCAGCAAATTGATACTGAATCCTGAGTCAACTTTCCTGAGATATCTTAGGGCAAAATGCATCCTCTTCCTGAGCTGTTCTCATGATGCTTAAACATTTGCTTATTCCTGACCAAATCTGCCAAAATTATTACCTCTTTTCTTCACCTCTTCTTCACTGCATTGCAAATTCTACACCAGCCTCAGGTACCAAGTTCCAGCCCCTCATACCACCCCTAACACAGGACTTTTCCTTTAGCATTTTTAATAATGAGAAATGGGCAAATGCTAAGGGTCCACAATCCAATTCCTTCTCTCTCCAGAGGATTAAAAAAATTGATATCTTTATTAGGCATTATTTACCCTGCATACTCTGGGACCTCATCTAAGAGCCAGAGCTCTCTGTGAAGTGAGAGCTGATCAGAGAGTCCTTGGAGTGCATGTGTTGTGCTTGGGAATGTTCTTCTGTCATGCTTCCTTTCATTTCCTGCTCCAAATATCCACATGATCTCTGATTAGTGACTGTAAACACAAGTAATCTGTGCTTAGACTCTGCAGCCTTAAACAGAGGACAACACAGAAAGGAAAACAAAGACAAAGAAGTTTGCCTGAAATCAGGAGGGCATTCCAGACCCTTTCGTGTCACCACTGCCCTGCTCATTTTGCTTCTCAGGCATTAACATCCCAGAGCTGAACTGGGTGGATTTAGGGCTGGGTAGAGTTAGGTCTAACCCAAGGCCAACATCTCCAGTTTATGTTTACTCTATGTTTGCTGCAGCCAACATAAGCACAGTACCACATAGGCAGCTGTCAGCCTGAACTCTTTCCTCTGTGCTTTGCACAAGGCAGAGGGTGAAACCACCCACTGAAAGCATTCAGTGCTGGGTGGAAGAACAGACCAGGTGTATTTACTTGGCATAAGCTTTTTCCAGCAGGGATGGCCAGAATTCATTTGAAGTTCGGGGGTGTACAGACAGGTATCTTCCATTTAGGAATGGCAGCCGGTCATCTATCACTACATCCACCCATTCTCCATATTGCCAGAACTGGAAGTAAATGAAATAAAAATGTATTTTAAAAAGAGATAGAGAAAACAATGAGCCTCTTTTAAGCACTAATGTCCATGCCAAGAAAAATCCTCCTGAACTAGCACAGGAATGAACCTAAAGCATGGATATGTGCAAGTTCTCTCCTGAACTGCCTCAGGCTAATGGTCCCCATTGTTAAACAAGCCACCAATTGGCTGGATGTCCCAGTGGCAGGGGAAGTCCTTGGGGAGTATAGCTAGTCCTGCAATCAGTGGGAGCAGAGATTCAGCATGGGGAATATGCTAATATTGTTGGGCAATAGCAAGATTTCAAGAAGATAAAGAATGATTCAGCAGGTGGATTCCATGAGCCTCTCTCCTCAGCCACACCTGGGTTTTTCCCCACAGTGTAGCTCTTGGCCAGAGAGGCTTTGTCAAGATCCAGCCTCTAAATTTCCTTTCCTCTGTGTTTCAATTAAGACTCTGACACGCTGTCATGGATGGAGACAGTGTAGTGACTAAAGACTGTTTTGAGGTGTTATCCATCTCCTTGATGGATGAGAAGGACACAGGCAGTCTCTCCAGCATGTGGACAGAGCAGGTGTTTCTCCAGCTGATCCAGCTGATGAAACTTTTTTAAGAGAAAAGACAGGAATAGAGATCTGCAGGGATGAACTAAAGGAGCCATTTCCAGAGTCATTAGCAGATTAATGTAGCTTAGCATGATTTGAAATCATAAGAGGCCAAGCTCTTATTTGCAGTAATGCTAAGGACTCTAGTGGAAGTATGCCAGCAATAGATTTAGTCTAGCATGATTTTATTTCAACAGCTTCGGTCAATGAAAAACCCCAAAATGAGCTGTTCTGCTAGAAAAGCACAAGACCAGATCTGCCCAGCAGCAAAGCAGCTTACAGACTGCTCTGCTGAAAGCAGGTCTGATCCTACTTACACTTCTGCCTCACCCTTCCTACACTGGTGGTGGCAGGAGGCAGCAGGATTAGGACCTCTACCTTGAGCTCCAGGAGAGCTCTGGGGCTTCTGCGTGATGTTGCCTTGGGGAAAAGCCTTCCACTGGCTGTCCTCTGCCTGAAGGAGAGACAGGCAAAAGGACTGTCCAAAAGGAGCTGTCCTTTCAGTCACCTAAGGAGCCCTTCTGCCACCAGCCAACACCTAGGAGCAGGTCTGTGTGGAGAAAAGGTGTGATGTCTAGGGATGCCTCCCCCCGGGGATTCATGTGCAATCACAACAGGTAAATAAAAAGAACATACAGAACTCGCTGTGGGGATTAATGCAGTCCAAACCCACTGAGTGATGTTTTTCCAAAAGTCAAGTTCCTTGGCCATGTTTTCTAGGGAGCTCAAGCTTTAAGACTGGCTGAATGCAGCACTGTTTTTTTGCTGACTGTCACAAACCTTCAGATGGTGGTCTCATCTGAGCTCACAAGGACAGGAAAAACCACAGTGGGAAAAATAAAACTCATGAGAAATCCTAGAGTGCTCTGGAAGTACAAGATTGGTACAGGAGAAGCCATTCTCCTGCTTTCATTTTTTGGCTTGAGTCTGGCTTAATGAAATTTCTTTATATTCCTTTATGGGATTTAAGTACTGCAGCTGTGAATGTGATAGTAAATAAAGCGAAGAATTGCTATTTAGGCAGGATGCAAAGAGGGAAGTTCTTTGCCTCCACATTTATGATAAGCTTTTTAAATCAGGACTTTATTTTCCTGAGCTTAAGAGAAAGAAAAAGAAATGGACAGTCCCAAAATGACAACAACACATCTAGGGTCTGGATGGTCAAAGAGGGAATACTGTGGGGTTATTTTGGGGTTATATTTCCTTCCCAGACAGAGATCTTAGAATAAACCAGTTCTGAAATTGAGTAAGGAGAAAATCACATGACTATCAACTAACATTAACCTTTTGTACAGTGTTAAAAAGCACTTTTTGGATGTTTCCTGAAACTGAGGTCTTGACCATTTATGGTCTTTAAAGATTTCATCTCTTTCTTCCTGAGAGCAGGGACATTAACACCCAGGACAGATCCCTCCACTTGTGAATTGATGCTCTGTGCAATAACCTCCTGTAGTCCCCTGGAGAACACTTCTGATTTTTTCCCAAGCTGAGGTGCTGCTCCTCACTGTCACAAGAAGTGACAGCTCTGCCTCATAGGCACTACAGCTTCTATGGCAGAGAAAGAGATTCCTATACAAACATGGGATCAACTTAATCCCTGGGGAAATAACATCACTGTAATTATTCCCTAGATAGAAACATTGCCCACTTTAACTACTAGCTGATGAAGTGCTTAACACCCTTGACTCTTGTACAGCTTGTGAGGTACAGGAACATTGGAGCAGCCCCTTGTATTCCTGAGAGGCAAGATGCTCCAGTTCCAAAATGGTGGGGGAAAAGTTATAAGGTAAAATTTTTCTATTAGCATATGATACGCCTTGTTTGCAATTCTTCACTGAACTGAGGACTAGTTGCTTAGCCTGTGGATGGCAGTAAAATATCTTTGATGGAATAATTGAAAGGCATTGCAGAGAAGCATTTCCATTCAGAGGAGCTTTCTCAGGGGTTTATTGCTCAAGGAAAGCCAGAAACAGTTGCATTGATTTGCAGATGAGATGACAGGGGAAACATTTTCAAATACTGTAAGGTATTTATACTGCTTAAGATTTAAGGATTGTGCCTAACTAATCTTTTCAAAGCTCCCATGAAAGACAATCTAGCTTCCATCCTTTTAATGTGTTTTAAGCAGACTGGTGTCCCTTCAGCTGGTTTATCTCACACAGTGTGTCAGTGTATGCTGGAAATGGGCCAAGATAGAAACATCTGGTATCCTAAGGAACAGAGGAACAGAGCAAAATTTAGACTGTCCACAAGATAATCCTCCTGGTGCTGCTCCACAAGAGCCTAGAAGGTCAAAGAAGTCCCACTGCCAGAGCTCTTTGTTTGGTGCTGAACTGCATAAAACAAAAGAGATTCATGAAATAAGGGGGATGAGGAATGGCTGAGTTTATCCAGATTTTCTCCACATCCAGTTTAGTTTCTGGAGTTTAATGGTGCTGCAAGCTCTTCTAATCCCACCAGATATTTGTTTGACTCAGACACAAGCAAGCAGAGCCTGGCAGTTGCTACCCGAGTCACCCTCCTGGGAGATTCAGACAATTTTAGGAGTTGGTAGAAAGTGGGATTTACTAAAAAGCCTTGTTCCTCTCTCTGAAACAAATCTCTTTTCAAAATATCAAAAGCCTGTTCCTCTGATCTGTCTCCAAGGATTTGTAATTTCCAGCCGTTTCAACAAGCTAAAAGGGCAAGGTGAAGTGGGAAAACAGAAAATGAGCCCAAATAGATAGTGCAGGTGAGATGACAGCCATAACAGACTGCCCAAATCAAAGTAGCCACCAGAATGCCATCTAAAACATATATGTACACAAATCTATCCGAACAGCTGGTACCACTGCATTTGCAGTCATAACTTTCAGAAAAGGGCATCAAATTCCCTGAAGTGCAATGGCACCACCTGGAGCACAAGGAATAATTTAAAAATTCAGGATTTTGTTCTGGAATGGGAGTCAGCATTGAAGAACCAAAGCATTCAAGAGTGTTGGGGTGTGGGGCTGCAGCTTGGACCCCTCTGCAATCCAACCAGCCAAGCTCAAGTGGTACCAACACCACAGGGAATACATACCCGGAAATGAAAAATCCCAGCATAATCATCCTGGAATCCTTGGTCCTTGGGTAAAACATTTTCCAAAAAGTGTTTTCTCAGTGTCAGGGAGCCCAGGGCAGCCAGCATCCAGCAGTCACCTCAGGGGAGGGAAGAATCCGGTACATTCAGTCAGTTTCTTGCTGTTCTGGATCACAGCTGACTCTTTAGAAAGGGAATGAGCTGCAACATCTAAGAACCGCTTTGCTAAAAGCAACCAACGTTCTTCTGTCTCCTTTTCCCCTCTCCAAAATGCTGAAACACTACCCAGGATTCACCAGCAATGTCCACCCTGCTGTCACCCAGCCACCCTTTTCTCCTATCACGCTGCTCCTATCTTTTGCACTCATGTTGAGACTTGCAGTCCAAAACACTCTTTAAGAAACCTTCAGACTTCTCAGTGGAGTGAGAAATGGAAAGGCATTTCTTTCTACACGGGAGCAGAGCTGCTCCCAAAGACAAACATGGTCAAGGAGTGCAAGATGGAACTGCCACAGGGTGCAAACACATACTCTGATACTGGGTAAGTATGGCTGGAGTTGAACGGAAATATCCACAGGAAGGAAAACACTGGCAGCCCCAGTGGCAGTTCCATCCATTCAGATGCAAAGAAAATTCAGCCCTACAGAAGTTGGAGCCGCACCTATTTACCTACTTACACTTAACTGTGTTTTGCCAGAGCTCACCCTATGTCGGGGGTGGCTCCGCGTACTGGAAAAATCTCTCCTCCAACCTGTGCTTTCAAAAAAAGGCTCAGAAGTCTTCTGTGGTTCAGTCTCAAGGTAGTTTACTGCAAGTTATCTAAAAGATTTTCTTCTTGAGCTGCTGTGATCTGCTCAGCAGCTCAGGTAGAGGCCTACACATCCCTGACATCCTCTCTGTCCCCTGACTTCTTCTTCTCTCCCCCTGCCCAGGGCTGCTGCTATCTTTTATATGGTACATTACGTGTTACATGTTTATAGTTTTTCCCCAATGCCTACTACCTATATTAAATGGTGCTTTTCTACTCTAAATCAATCTGTGAGTGCAAACATCACCAAGAACATGGAGGAAAGGAAGAAGAAAGAGGGAGGACAGGACAGGCCCAAATCCCTCCATATTAAAACTTCTGACCCCCATGTACAAGACTTAAAACCCCCCTATACAGCACTCAAAAATTCTTCCCTTTACTTTGTGACTACTTCTACTATAATATCTAAACTTTTGTGACTTCTTGTTCTTCCTGCAAGGTTGGTAAATCATTCCATGGTTCAAATCCAAAATCACAGCTGTTTCCAGCTGCCTGCCAGGGTGTCAAATGCTTCTGACCTGGACCCAGAACATCCAAAAATGTCTGAGGGAAATTTTGAGTTCTGACAGTGTTTGACCCTTCTTCCTGAAGCATCTACCTGATCTCAGCTGGATCTCCATTTCTAAGCTTGGCCTTACAAAGACAGAAGGCAGGTGCCAGACAAAAGTAACAAAGATTTGAGCTGCTGCATTTGGGAATCCTGTTAAATATCTGCAATAAGTTGTGTGTGGACTTGTGCCAGTCTAGATTGACCTGCACTGATTGTTTACTGCAGCTACCCTGGTCAACATCTTCCCACCGAGCACTTGGAACACCGCAAAGCAGTCACAAGTTATTGCTTTGTGCAGATTTCCAAATCAAGAATATCACCTTACCTATTTCTCCTTGCATGATGTCAAATCTGCTAACTCCATCTCTGATCAAATAAGGATTTCTCTGAAATTCCTGGAGGAAAGAAAATGCAAAGAACAGTGTGAGTACCCAGCCTTTGCCAGCAGTATGTTTCTGCCCTTTGAAGACCTTGCCTACCTTTTCCAGGTCTGAAAACTGCTTTTCTTGAGCCCTGATGTTTTGCTGCCTGCCACTAACAAAACCAGAGGAAATACTCAGTCACCTCTTCTTTAATCTGCTCAGATATTCCTAGGGATGGGGATCTGGAGGTGGGTGCTCCCTGAGTTTTCATTTGAGTTTCTCTAATGCTACTGACACCTTTGAAAAAGAGCTCTGAGCTTGCCAGTGAAATCATGCAGTTTCCTGGGGCACAGCAGGGCAATGACACACAGATGTCCAAGAAAAATGGAATAGGGTCTGTACTTCAGCTCAGCAGTGGGTCTGGGAGCATTTTACACTCTAAGCCTTTTGTGTTTCCTTTCAGGTCTAATACAGGTCAGCCTGGGCTGCTTTTCTTCACTCTGGTGAGGAAGATATAGAAAGAGAGCTTAATCTCTGTCTGCAAAATCCCATAGGCCTGGCTGACATTTTTGATTCAGAGAGAATTTTCCTTGAGAGTCTTGCTTGGGCAGTGAAGGGGGAAGCACTTCAGAGCCTGGCTTTGCACACAGAAATGTGAACCATTCTCCCAGCTGTGTCTGCTATTGGCCTGGGATATCTGAGTGCTCAGGAGGGAAGGGCCTCAGCAACCTCCATGAGTAACCTTTGGCACTCTCCATCATGGTAAGGTTCTATTTTGAAAGAGCAATCAGCCTGAAATAGGCAACTCATCACACATATAAGAAAACAAAGAGATAAAAGGAAAGGAAAAAAGTCCTGGTAAGAAAAAACAATACAGCAGCCCTTCCCTGAACAGGCCCTGGCATTCCTTCTCGCCAGCTGATCTGACATGATGCACAAAAATGAGACCAGCTCACAATGTGACTTGTGACTTGCACGGTTGTGTGAGCTCATCATTAGCAAATGCTGTCAGCTTTCTGAAACAGCTTCACAGGGATCAAATACCTCTAAAAAGTTTCCCTGTCAGGAAAAGATGCAATGCAATATCACTGCTCCAGGTTGGTGGGCAGATAATGCTCCCATAGCACTGCTGATGTGGGCAAAGCAGCCTCAACAGGCAAATTCCTGGAGATGTGCTTTCCTACAGCCATCCCCACCTGTCCCAGGACTTTGGGGATTTGCAGCAGGAGATTTACCCATGGCATGGGAGCAGGCCTAAGACGTGTGGCCACCAGCAGCAGTGGTTGCTCATTGTATAAGGAAGAAGCAACATTGAACCATTCTCCCTTCCGCTCTACATCCATCCCACCCTCATCTTCTCCCGACCTCCGTTTCCCAGAGCAGTTTGTGCCCTTCACCTGGGTGAACTTGAAACTTTCCACGAGCAGGAAAGATTGCTTGGCAAGGCTTTGAACTTGCCTGTGCTTTTGTCTGACTTGCTAGTAGTCAACCCAGAAAACCAACAGCATACAGAGTGGCTATTTTTGTTTCCCCCATCACTTCTGAGGGCATTGAAGTCTGACTTCCCAGAAGCAGGGTGGCTGGGCTACAGTGCATAGCTGCCACAGGGGTAAGCACACCCAGAAGCATGAGCCTGAAACTAATGAGAAGGCAGCTGTGTCTTTATGGGATCCCTGAGAAAAGGGCTGATGCTGTGCTCTGTGCCAGGATGCTAAAGCTCAGAAGTGCTCTGCGGATCCTGCTAGCCTGTTGTGGGGACTGGCTCAGAAGTCAGCCCATTAGATGCCTCACCAAATATTCTATTGCCCACCAAGCTGTTCGACTCCCCAGGGAACAAACAGGGATGAGCTGAGTCATTAAGCAGGCTCCTTGCTGGGAGAAACTGGCAATTTAGTCTAAAACCAGAAAAGACATGATCTGAAGTCAGCCCCAGCCAACCCACCTCGACTGTGCACACAGACATCTCTGTGGCTGGCAGAGGGAACTCTCCAGTGCTGCATTCCCCATAGCAAGTGGAGCTCTGCTTCCAGGAGTTTGCACTCCCCACAGGCTCCGGGGCAATAATGGAGACACAATACAGATTGTGTTGTTTCCACTAGCCAGGGGAAGGACCTGCTCAGCAGCTGTCTGGACCCACAGAGGGCTTTTGACAGAGAACAGAGAGGACATAATTGTAATGGAAGTGCTCTGGAAATCTGCACCTTTTCACCTGGGAGGAAAGGAAGTCTCAAATTAACTCCTCTTCCTTCAAAGGCAAGAATACAGCAGTCATAAAACACCATATTGTCCATTATTGCAAAACACAGAGAAACACAGTTACCCACTACACAAAATGTGCAAGCCTCACTATTTCCTACTGCTCAAATTGCATGACAAAGAAAGGAACCACAGTTTTAACTATGTGTCTGTCCAGAAGCAGTGCCCTGTTTCACTGAGAAATGATGAGGCTTTGTGGTATTTTCACAGAGACTTTTCAGTTTTAGCTGGAAGGGGAAAGAAGAGGGAGCTCAGGGAGGCACGTGGTCTCTTCTTGGAGTATCCATGAGCCCAGCAGTAAAAGCAACCATATGGGCTGCAAGTCAAGCAGTCTGCCTGAACTCATCCCCCCAGGACAAAGCTCTCATCACTCGCTTTCCCTGGCCCACTGAAAACTTCATTAGGTATTCAAAAAGAAAGAGAAGTTCAAGTTCAAACCAGTTCATCCTCTAGAGCATGGTCTTACCACAGAAGTACTGTTCATCTAAAGGGCAAGACAGAGAATTAATCTGAGAGGTGAAGGGAAAGTGTCCTGTACATGCATTTAGCTCTAAATCTCTTTTTATAATTGCTTGAAATTTTTAGGGAAGAACAAGTCCCCAGAAGGAGCTGGAGGGGACTAGTGTAGATGTAGACCACATGCAGACATGCAAAGGACACAGTCAAGCAGTTCTGTGCAAAATTGGAAGCTTGAGGTGGGATTTCCTAGGCAGTGCAAGCTGGTCTGGCTGCAGGCTGCTCTGGTTGGGTGCTGGCCACTTTCTCCCACATTTCCCCAATGGACCAGCATGAACCTGAATGCAGGCACAAGGCCACCGAGGGTTAAGAGGCTGGAGCTGACTGCAGAGCCACCTCTTCGTCAGTTCACCTTAACTCTAAGATAAAATCCCAGCCCTGTTTCTGTTCCTGCCACAGGTCCACATCCTTCCCTTCAGCTACACTTGAGTTGCTCCCCTCTGCTGCAGTTCCACCATCCTTACACATCCTGCCATCATGAGTAATGGTGCTCCCTGTACAACACACACAAATTATGACAAATAAAAAGGCTGCTATTTATTGAGAGCCAAACTGTTCTCAGCTGGACAAATGTTAATTCAGCAGCACTGCTGTGCCTGTAATAGTGTTGCTGTGGATTAATAAACACAGTACCACAGTTCTCTGGGCTGAAGACCCTGCCCAGCAGTGTGCTGAGGAGGGGTCAGTCACACCATTGCCATACATCCCATAACCACAGGAAACCTCCACAGAAATAAGACAGTTGGGATAATGGGGGAGAGCAGAACAAAGGAAAAAGTTAGTGGAGGGTCTGGAGCACAAATCTTATGAGAAGTGGAAAGGGAGCTGGGTTATTTTAGCCTGAAGAAAAGGAGGCTCAGGAGGGTGACTCCACATCTGTCCAAAAGGAGGTGGTAGCCAGGTAAGAGCTACAGAGTCTCTTCTCCCAGGTAACAAGTGACAGAACAAGAAGAGATGGCTCCAGATTGTGCCAGGGCAGGTTTATGTTGGATATTAGGAAAAATTCATTCACTGAAAGGATGGCTAAGCACTGGAACAGGCTGCCCACAGAGGTGGTACAGTCACCCTGGAGGTATTTAAAAGACATGCAGATGTGGTACTGGGGGACATGGTGGCTTTGCAGTGCTGGGTTAATGGTTGAACTCTATGATTTTAAAGATCTTTTCCAAGCCACACAGTATAAGCTGTGCCAGGCCACACCAAAGATCTGATGTGCAATGACTTGTCCCCAACAGATCGGAGAGGGAGAGCATAACTGAGCAAGCCAAAATAAATAGGAAAAATCAGACTACTCTCAAGGGGTGTGCTTGCACTGATAGAACTCAATTCCCTGCTTTACAGCAGAATAGCTCAATTCTTAATTGCCTGATTTCAATACAAATGCATTGGTTGCTTATGAAAGCCATGCTCTGCTCCAGTTCTCTTTTGCATTGGAAGAATGAGTTCACCAGACTCCACACAGGCATGGAGCCCATGAATGTGAAAGCTAAGTCCTGCTGGAGGATGGACTGGTGTCAACAACCACACAAAAACAGAAACCAGCTCAGATTTTACCTGAAACCTGTTTGCTTTGTGTGGTTCACTGCTAAAACAAAGGAGGCAAAGACAAAGGAGGTAAACAAGGGAAGTAGTCCTGTGTACCTGGAGCCTTTGAGAGGCAGTTTCCTTAGAGGTCTTGGAACCTCCCCTGGGATCATACAGTAAAAGCTGGAAGTGCCACGGTGTTACCAACCACCCTCCAGCCAACACAGCCACATGATCCTGCTTGAGACTCCCCAGCCTGAGAAGCAGGGCAGTCAGCAGACCTTCACAGCAGCACTGCTTTCCAATCCACCTAGGATGCACAAATTCCCCCCCCGCCCCAATCCGCTCGCCCCAAGGATCAGTGGATTTGGGAAACACTATGCAAATAAACATTTTCCATCTTCCAGAAGGACAGATGTAATAGCTGGTGATGCACTGCAGCTTCCCCAGCCCACAGTGAGGAATTCCAGGTTGAGGTGAGGTGCAATCAGCTGAGTAGGCAAGGGCTGAGACAGTGGCAGCCTGGGATGCTTCTCCCGTTCAATTACCCTGATTGCACATGCAAACTCGGGAAGAACAAGGTGGATTGATTTTGATTTTCATCACGGAGAAACACTGAACAGGATCCAAGAGCCTCCAGGCCCCTGGGAAAGACTGAAGCTGTGAGCTCCACCACAAACAGCTGGTGAGCAGCTTTGGCTCATGGCAGGGACTGCTGGCCCCAAAGTGACAGACGT